CCCCCCGCCGCCGCCGCCGCTTCTTAAGGTGGAACCCGCCCCGCACCCGCTGAGGGGACTCGTCCCGCCCTGCAGCGGGGTCAGCTCACCTCGGACGGGCTCATCCCGCCCTGGAGGGGACTCATCCTACCCTAAAGAGGTCTCATCCCACCTTGGAGGGTCTCATCACACCCTAGAGGAGTCTCATTCAGCCCTGGGGGGTCGCATCCCACCCTAGAAGGGATCTCATCCCATCTTGGAGGGTCTTATTCAGCCCTGGAGGGGTCTCATCACACCCCAGAGGGGTCTTATTCAGCCCTGGAGGGTCCCATCACACCCTAGAGGGGTCTCATCCAGCCCTGGGGGTCTCATCCACTCCTGGGAGGGATCTCATCCCATCTTGGAGGGTCTCATCCAGCCCTGGAGGGTCCCATCACACCCTAGAGGGGTCTCATTCAGCCCTGGAGGGGATCTCATCCCACCTTGGAAGGTCTCATCCCTCCCTGGAGGGTCTCATTCAGCCCTGGGGGTCGCATCCCACCCTAGAAGGGATCTCATCCCATCTTGGAGGGTCTCATCCAGCCCTGGAGGGTCTCATCACACCCTAGAGGGGTCTCATCCAGCCCTGGGGGTCTCATCCACTCCTGGAGGGGATCTCATCCCATCTTGGAGTGTCTTATTCAGCCCTGGAGGGTCTCACCCCACCCTGGAGGAGTCTCATCACACCCCAGAGGGGATCTCATCCCACCTTGGAAGGTCTCATCCCTCCCTGGAGGGTCTCATCCAGCCCTGGGGGTCTCATCCCATCTTGGAGGGTCTCATCCAGCCCTGGGGGTCTCATCCTACCCCAGAAGGGATCTCATTCCATCTTGGGGGGGTCTCATCCAGCCCTGGAGGGTCCCATCACACCCTAGAAGGGTCTCATCCAGCCCTGGAGGGGACCTCACCTCATCTTGGAGGGTCTCATTCATCCCTGGAGGGTGTCTTGTCCCTGATCCTCACTGCCATGTGTTTGTATTTTCACCCACCTGCATTTTGCACACTGGTTTCTATTCCACCCAGGAGAGCACACGAAGCAACAGCAGACTCTGTCTATGCTTGAAGAAGTGCAAAAATCTAGATTTTGGTTCAGAAAAGATACCTTTTATTAGACCAACGCCAAAAAAAAAATTCTTTTTATGCCTGAAGAAGGGTGTTTGTGCCCAAAAGCTTGCAAACAACAGATTTTCCAACTATTTAGTTGGTCTAATAAGAGATATCACATTGGCCCAAAGAACCTTGTCTGCCTGTCCCCTCCGCGAAGCTTTCCCAGCTCAGCCAGGCCCATGCCCCAGGCCTGGGCAAACCCAGCTGTCCCCCACTCAGCTAGATACACTGCCGGTCTGGCTAGGCTGGGAAGACCCTGCTCTCCTCCGCTCTCCCACACTCAGCTAGCAAGGCAGCCGTTCGTTGCAGATGCTAACCCAGCAGAGGCAAGTACACCTTTCATTTGAAAACCCTGCGGTCAACCAATTTAAATAGATGTCATGCAAGGCCCAGAAGATACCTGCAGGCACCACCTACCCCAGGGCAGCAAGACTCATCAAGTCACGACTTATTCAACGACCCAAACATCGAAGCCTGTGTAGCCCTTCCTTTACTGATTAGCATGCCGTGAAACTGGGAAATAGCTATTTGCACACACAACATACAGAAAAATCAGAGCCTGCAAAGAGAACCTGGCATTATATATTCACAGCGACGAGAAAACCTCTTTCAAGATGTACAAACACTGACGTCTTGGTGCCCGTCACCAAAAGTGTCCTTAATGCCCACCGACATCTTTAATATCACATTCAGCTGCAGCCAGCAGTTGCACACGTGTTATGGCTTAAGACCTGACCCGGGAGCCAATTCATACTCAGTCAACTGTCTGCTTCATTCGCTGCTTATTATCAGCCGGGTCTGCAACTCCGCATATCTCAAATTCCTCTTTTTATTACAGGGAGAGACGATGACGATACCGACATTTTTGGAACACCTCTATTTACCTCCCTTTGTAGTATGGCCAGCTCAGATCCGATGTGTTCACTGAGCTTTTTGGTACAACTTCCATTTACTATATAAATGGATTCTATATGTAGCAATATAATACTATACTGCAATTTTGCAAAAGGCTGAGCAGTGGAAAAAGGTTACTTCTGCGATTTGTTCACTATCCAATGGTATAAAATATATGCATGGAAAATTTATGTTAAACATTTTCTTCCGTTGTGTGCACGCATGTGCACTTCGTAGTTTCATAGATGGATGTTAGGGGGAGCCTGTTCCAAACCCTCGGCGCTCAACTTGTAAAGTTTTTCCTTATGTCTAGTCTGAAGGGATCTTTAATCAGTTTGCGCCCATTGTTTCTGGTCCTGCACACAATTTCTATACATGCTTACATATCCACAGAAACCGATACATATCCAGTACATACAACATTCACGATAGATTTTTTTCCGATTATACATGTCTCTTTACTTACGGATGTGAACACCCCCACACAGAGTGAAAGTGGTTTTAAATGTACTTTGCAAGATCTAAAACTTCCAAATAAAAATAAAGTGATAATAAGATACATTTGCAGCTAATAATCAGGACACCCTTGTAGAAATGTGGGGTGCCAGATTCTTTAAACCTTCATCTCACAGATCAGGGCACTTTTTTTTGACTAAACTGCATGAGCAACCAACTAAATGCCCGAGCAACTGAAACATCGAATTAGGAACATGATCATTTCTGAATTTTAGTGATGTGAAAAGAACCAAAGAAGTACCTTCAATTAAGTCCCTCGTAAATCTGGGCTTCTTGTGTCTTCAAACTTGGGAATATAACATGCGTGCCAATTTAACGCATTAAATCAACATTTAACTGTAAGAAAGGACTTACTGCTATCCTTTGGAGAGTCATTTTAACAGACGTCCATGTGTCCAGTCTTCTATCCAGGATTAGGATAAATTTGGTGTCAGATTCATGTTGACTATGAGATAAGAAAATACCAAGTGGCTAGGTAAGTGAGAGCATACCTTTGCAGTCACAGGAATAAGAGAAGGCAGGTGAACACAGTACACCTAGCCCTTTCCACAAGCACCAACATTTCATTACAAAACAAAAAATCATCTACCATGAGGTTCAGAAAGAAATTCAATGCGCTACCTTTGTTGTTATCCCACAGTAACCTTGACTTTTGAAACAGGCAAAGCTATTGCTATCCATTGGCAACTTCATTTGTATTTAAGGATCAGATCACCAATTCCCTTATGCAACCCTGCAAAATCCCAGCTTTAATAGTCGAGGGAGCAGTACTGTATCAGTAATGCTACACTGTTGGGGATGACATGTGCCTAAGGTAAGGTTTTTTTTTCTCTACAGTAACACCCAATCAGGGAATCTGTTTTCAACTCCTACATGGGTTTAATTTGCAGATAAGACACATCTGAAGCACGGCCTGCATGACAAATTGGATTCACAGCTGTAGGAAGGCAATGGAGCAGGGCGTTTGCAAACAAGTCCCTGGGGATGTGGATATTCACAAGTCCAAATGCAAACGGGGTGTAAAAAACTCCTGAGTTTGGCATAAGCAGCTTTAGATTTTAATGCTAATTATTTAGGACTACTACATGGTGGTCAATATTTGGCAAGCTGGCTTTCTTTTAAAAATAAGTCACTTAATATGGCAATAAGATATACATTAAAGGGATGCTCTCTCCCTGGCTTTTATGCAATACTGTCCTGTTTACCAATATACCTAAAATAAATTTGTGCTTGTGCCAGACAGGACAGCATTAGAAGTCTTCTTGCCATATAAAAGCAGCGGCATAAACTGCAGCGCATGCATTCCCAAAATTGCCCTGCAAATGTGACGCATGCCTTCACCTTCAATGGTCGTTTCCGAGATCACGGTGAACTCCTGGGCTTGGCTTTATACGCTTTCAGTCCCCCCAGTAGAAAGAAGAAGTTAGTGTGAGGTTGTATGTGGCGTGTGCCATTCATTGAGTTTAAACATAAAAAACAGATGAGGTGTCTCCAGGTACTTCTGGAGTATCATCTAGAGCTCAGCAACATTTTGACCAAACGGTCCCCTCAAAACTTCAGAAGATTTTTGGTTCAGTTTGCCCTGAAACAAAGTTCCCCTCCCACCAAATTTTTGGAACGATCAATAAACTGAAAAAAGCCCCAAACAAAACATGTCATTCACGAAAGCTGCATCACGAAGAAAGAGGGCAAGAAATGCAAAGGAAAAACTAGAGGAATCAGGCAGACTATATCATCTTAGGAGTCAGCAAAAGCATATGAAGGAATCGCAGTTTGAAGCATCGCAATGAGCTCTAAACCTGGGACTCTACAACTACTTGAGGAGCAATGGGCGCATCTACATGACACGCTTAATGCGCAGTAGCCTAATAACACTGCACAGTAGTGTGCCGGGCAAAACCTGTGCTAATATACTATTGTATGGTACTATTAAGCTACTGCGCATTAAGTGTCATGAAAAAAACCATGTGCCGGTGCTACTGCTCAGTAACTGTAGTCACCCCGCATTTAATTAAGCAAGTACTCAATTAAATGTGTAGTAACTACTGTGCATTAATGAACATGTAGGTGTGCCCAATAAGGACACCAGACAGTCCTCCCTCAACCTGCTAACTTGTTTTTACTGGCTTCCCTCTGGGCAAACAGCACAAAGTCCCGGACAGCCCAGACGTCCTGTAACCTGATGCAAAAGTGGATGTTCCCAACGGAGCCCGTCTTTGGCCATTTGCAGTCCAGGGCTTGCAGGTTTATCAGGTTTCCAGCCCGATGGCAGTGCTTTTAGCTTGACACTAAAACCAAATCAGTGCATTCTCCCCAAGGACTGCCTGGTGCTATTTCATTTACCTCCCATAGCATGAATCCTCCTGGAGAAGGATAACTGCAGCGAAGCATCAGCGTGCTTCCTCCTCCTTTCTAATCATCCTTACTTTTATAGTGCAAACCCAAGCTCTAACCCCTCACCATCTGCAACTAAACCGGTCTCTGAGCCCGTACAGCCTCACTGTAGTCAAAGCAGATACATTCAGTCAAAAACCAAGTAGGCTTCCACAATGGCGAGAAGATGAGAGAAACATGCATTCTGAGCCGTTCCCCCTGAAATGCTAAATAGATGTCTGAATCATCACGCCCTCATTGATTTCAATAGGGTTTGACCAATTAGGAGTAAAATATGGAATAGCGAATGGTTTCAGCGCTTGTATTTATTTGCAATACCAGCGCAGAATGGCAGATGTTACATTCAGGAGAAAACCCTTGTGCAACCAATTATAGAAATGGCATAGTGGTAATGTACAGTCAGATGAAAAACTGCAGAGGGGATGAGCCCTGCTCCTACTGTAAAGAGGACGAGAATAAAACATCATCGCTGGACACGGAGCTGCCTGGCAGGGTAGGAAGCAAAGGCAAAACATCCGAGCAAAGTGTGAGAGAGGGCTGGGGAAGGAGGAGGTGAAAGGACGTGAAGGGACGATAATGAGAAGCAGAAAGAACGAACAACTAGCAATCCAGATGCTGAACATGGGCAGCTGGTTGAAGATGAATCGACATGCATGTGGTGGCAAAGGAAGGGGTGCAATGGGGGAGCTAAATGCCTTTATTCCCTTAAATATTTCACTCCCCTAGTTGCAATTCTCTCACTCGGGTGCCTCAAAATATTACCGTAATGACTCTGCAGCAGCATATCACTTAAGCGACGATACATACCTAGGCTTAAGCAAAGCTCTGCCACAAATTATTATTTTAATTGGGTAAATTAATGGTATACAAACAAGCTGGCAATTGATAGAGACAGAGTCTCCTTTTATTATATGATTGGAGGCCTCATTTACGCAAATGAGCACGACGGTTACATCTGCATTGCACCAGGTGGCACTGGGTAGAGATACCTGTGCAGGTGCCGAATGAGCTGGTATGTCTGCAGCAGAGTGCAGAGAGACTAACCCAGGTCCCAGAAGCAGCATAGCTGCACAAGCATGACTGATTAGCCTAAGTGGAGCACTGCACTGCACTGCACTGCACTGCACTGCACTGCGGAGGATATACTGCTTCCAGGCTGCCAGCCAGCCACATCAGAACAAGCATACAGCAATGCCCTGTGCAGTGGAGACGTCCGCTCCGGCTCAGCATTACAAAGCCATTCGGCTCCTTCTAATCTTTGTCTTCTACCTGGCTTTGCAAGTGGAAGTTGCTCACAGCAAGGAAGTGATACCCCAGATCATGCCTGACACCCGATCTGGTGGAAGCCTTTGCCAATGGGCAACTGAAGCTGGAAAGTAGTGCCGTACCTTGGGACCGAAGTCAAGTATGTTAAGACTTTTGTAAAAACCTCTTCGGACACTTTGTTGAACTCAGAGTTTTCTGGAAAGGTGATTATCCAGCCATTGTCTTTCCCTCGGCCACCTAGAAGTAACAGAACAAGCTTCTCTGTAACATGCCACGCAGTGAAACCCCCTCCCCACCGTGCACAATTTAAAATGGAAAATATTCATCTACCCCCTGTAACCATTCATCTTGGCACATTAAAGACAGAAACTGGTCCTGCTCCTTTTGAGCCATCCGTGTGTGTGTGCATCAGTGCGTGTCTGGGAGAGGAGTGAGGGCAAGTCAGGACTTGGATGCACATTTGTGCCCACGATGGGCACGCACATGTAGGTACATAGCTGCAAGGCCAGTGCGCAGCCTGGTGCACATGCATGCGTAGGTGTCCATGCTGCAGGAGAGGTAGAATCGCTACCTGGAGGGAATTGCCAAAAAATGCCACTGATGCAGCTAAAACACTGCCACTTTGGCACACAACGGGAAACAGAAATCCACCCTCGGGGCTTACAGTACTAATAATCATGGGATTTTAAATAAGACTCTGAAAAGCACCCTTCTCTAAGGAGCTCATTGTGAGCAGGATGGAGTGAAAACTAAGAAACACCCCCAGATCAGTTTTAGTTCAGTATTACAGGCCAAATTCTAGCCTTCAGCACCAATGCACAACTCCCACATGTGCATTAGATACTGGTTCTTTACCAGATATACCCCTTAATCTCCTTACAGCACCTTTTGGATGTGATAACAAAGAAGCCAGGAACATAAGGGTAAGCTCATGTGGATGACACAACTATATTTCAGAGCAACAGACTTGTTTGCTTGGGAAGTGTAGAGGGAATATTTTATAGCCTAGCTTGGGGAAGAAACCTAAGACCCTCTTTCAAGCCAGCACAACGTTTTAACAACACTACTTCCAGTGGCCCTGGAGACCACCTGATATGTATCTCCCGTACAGCATCCTTTTGCCAAAGAGTGAGCCAGTTCATCCAGGGTATTTAATTACCTTGCATGGAAAAGGTGAAGGAAGGAGTGCACCGTACTCACCAGAGAGGAAAGCAAACTCTTTCAGCAAATCATCGCTGATGTCTTTTGCACAAATGGGAACTGCGGCTTCTAGAGAAAGCGGGAGCAAAGCAAAGTAAATATGTGGTTAGTAGTGTAACAAGAGGGAAGTTATCCTCCACTCACCTCTGCCTCACGAAATTAAACACTGAAAGGTCACACCCAAGAATAGTTTCCCTCGGTGCATGTAATTTCTGCACTAAATCAATTCAACCAATGATCAGTCATGTTAAAGGTGAATAACCAGAGTGTCTTATTACCTTCTTTCAACTGGACTACAGGGGATGGTCAGCCTGATCTTTTTCAAGTGGACTAGTTTTATTTCCCTCTTCCACAAATCCCTCCGGTATTTCCCAGCACCACCAGTACAATGAGCTTGCAGGTTGCTGCGGGTAGCAGAAGTGGCGGAGAATGATGCATGAGAAAGTCTACTGGGCATTTTAATAATGTCCTGCTCCTTAATGTTGTAACATCCAAGTTCCTTAATGAATGCACAGCCAAAGCAAATAAAACTGAAGTCGGCCCAGCTGATCTCGCATGGCCCAGTGCCACATGCATTAGAGAGATGATTGTCCTCATGTCCAACGATTAGATTTCTAAAATTAAATAGGGGAGGCTGCTATAAAGCCACCTTTAGCATATTGTGATTGTTGCAATACCAGTCTGGCATGTCAGCATAATTTTATATAGATTATAGTGTGAGAGAGAGAAAGAGAGAGAGAAAGCAGGCATGCACTACCTAGATTATCAGGGCATAGCCAATGATGGCTAAAAATCAAAAATACTCAATTTGCACTAGTCCAAACTAAAAGAAACATGTATATTCTTATATACTGCAGGTCCCTGACAGTGTAAATAGGATGAATGCATGAAGCTGCTCCTTCGAAACATTTGAGCCTGTGCCCTTTCTGACATTGCATGCCTGGCTATTTTTACTTTCATTCACTGAAAGTGTCCCGTGTGTTCTCAATGACTCAGGACTTCATCTCACGGGTGTCATTAGAGAAATTCTGTTGATTTCTATGGGATCAAGGTTTGGCCTCATTACTCTTGCTTGCTTTTGCAGAGTTACTTTGACCAGCTTCTATTAGCACTGTCATTCATCAGAGGACGAGTCAAGTGAAGAGTTTGTCTTTACATCCGTTTAATAATTGCTTCGGGTGAAAATAATTTCATATTGACCAAAGCACAACATTTAATAAATTAATAAGCACTAATACAAACCCGGGTCTCTGATCAAAAGATATGATGCATGCACAGCCTTTGGAATAGAGGAGGCAGGAGACAAAAGTTCAAGCATCTTCTTTTGTAACTTGGTATGTATTGCATTTTTCTGCACGATCTGACCTCACTGCAAAACGTTATCCAATACATACGCATGGCAAAAGTCCTACTTATTGAGGGATTTGTTTATGGAGACGAAAGCATTTATATTACCCTCCTCAAAGACGCACAATATACTTCAAAAAATCAGCATTTTCAAATAAAACGCCACTATTTTGTTTCAAGGATCCAGATGTGTTTCCTAAATTCTTCCCAACAAATGAGGCAGAAGGGGAAAAATCAGGAACAGCCCGCAAGTTCAGACTCACGTTGTGTATGCTCAGAAGTAAAGACAGCTGATTATTTCTATGACCCAGAGAGCGCAAGAGGCACTTCACAGGAAAAAAGCATCGTCTGTGCCCCAATGAATTTAGCACCTCGGGCCTGGGTTGTACAGCAAGATCCAGCAGCACAGGGATCAGCTTTCCCCTGGCTCCCGCCTCCATATCAGGCACTGCACATGCAAACAAAATAATGCAATGTTTGCCAACTTAGCTATGTCAACATGAAAAAAAAAACCACGATGCAGGGTTTCCGTGAGCATGCATTAAACAGGCAATGTCTTCACTGGGGTGTGTGCTTCCACTGAGAGAGCTGGCCCACTATAAGATCCTACTGGAGACAAGACACGAGTAGTTTTTATGACCATGTAAGTAGTCCAAGGCAAACATTTGGGGAGTCGAGAGGTCGGCACAAGTCGTTCACTGCAAATCTTCTCTAGGTAATAAACTGCTGTGCATGAATCACAGCAATCCCACGTAATGAAAATAACACAGCAAGCAACAACAAACGCACACGGCGTGCTCCCGTGTCGTGGAAGGAAAGCACAGGAGGAAAGTTGGAGTTATGAGAGAGAGCACTGTTTAGCGACTGGGAGTAGACCGAAGGGTGGAGACAGAAGCACTTTAAACCATCCCTTTTTAAGAGTCAACATTTCACAGGAAACAACTTACTCATTTGCGTTCTTGAACTGGGCTACGCGCACCACGCAAGCCAGCGGACGACGCAGCTGCTCGCTGGGAACCGGACCCAGGTCTCCCACGTCTTGGAAGAGTCACCCTCCCACAGGGCAACATGCCGCTCAACAGCATGCTGCATTTTTCGTGCTCCAAGAAAGGTCCAAACACTGTCCAACACATCCTCCCATCGCTCCTTGAGGTCAAAGCCAAGTAACTACATAAAGCCATATCTGCTAGCCACTGAAAGTCTTGGCCAGGGCCATCCAAAAGAGACTGCTGGCCGGGACATTGTTTTGCGCTCTTAAGACTCCAGCTTTGTTACCCTTCGGGAGCAACACACCAACTACAACCGTGCCACGGGACAAACCGACATCCCCTGCCATTTGTGAGAGCTACGAAGAGAGAGAGAAGGGTCAGTCGTGGAGAAGGACGGTGGATGGGGCTATTAGAGAGAAGGATGCGGCCTGCTGCTGGGAAGGACCGGGATGGGTCTCTTGTTGAGGGCTCGGATGTAGAGACAGATGCTGCAATAGGCACGGAGACCGCAACTGGGGAGGGATGGGGGGAAATCAAACCCTTTAAGGCATCTCCAAATATCACATTAGCCAGCCTCATCTTTGCTTCGGGCAAAGCATTGCAACCAAGAGACAGGTGCCCATGGACCTGGAGAAATGTGGGCAGTGGAGTCGAGCATCTTCCCTGCCCAGGGCAGGGGGTCAGACTCGATGACCCAATAGGTTCCTTCCAACCCTAAAATCTATGAAGCCTCATTGACATTTAATGGGATATAGGCATCTAACTATCATCTGTGCTGTTGCCCATATCCCTTTGAGTTACCTACATCTGCTTGCCCCTACCAGCCTTGGAGATCTGGCAACGAATCTCTCTGTAAATGGGGCTTGCTGCCTTTTGAGCTCTCAACTGGACCATATCGGAGCAGCACAGCTAGGAAATAAAACCTAAAAATAGCAACCTGGTGTAAAGCCCTTTCCCCTCAAGAGCATTACAAACTAGAGCAGCGTTGAGGCAAAGCAGCATGCCCCTTGCATTGAACTGGAGGAGGGAAATGCCACAAATGCCACGTCACTGATGCTCCAGTGTGCGCCCAGCTGAACCTCTTGCAAATCCTTCCTAGATGCAAAAGGACAGACCTGAAAGCATCCTCTGCCACCGGGAGTGGTGCTATGGCACAGGGATCCTGAGGACACATGAAATCAAGAGGGAGGAAAAAAACCCAGAGATCTTTACTCTGCAGAGAGAGAAGCAGAAGAGGAACACGCCGCTACAGTAATAGAGAGAAAGCTATTTTTGTCCTAGCAGGCTTGCTTGGTGCAGGCCAGGATATTTTGCTGAGTCCTCATTTTTTTTGCCTGTATCCCAGAGGGACATTCGCAGAGATCCAGGCTGCGAGGCTGGAGCCCGTTCTCCGAAATCTTCCTCTTCAATGCGGTCAACATCCACCTGCCTCGGCACTTTACAGAGACTTTAAATCAGTGTCTAGATTTTGTTAGGGGCTGGAAGGGACCTCACAAGATCATGGGGTCCAGCCCCGCTGCACTTGGGCAGGAAAGACCGCCGGGGTCAGATGAGCCCAGCAAGGTGGGAGTCAAGACGCTTTTTTGAAGAAAATGGTCCCCAGTCAGATAAGCAGGCCTGGTGGCTTATTTATGCCTTTGCAGCTGGTTTGCTCTGCCCCCCCCCCATTGTCCCCTTTCCCTTCTGGCCTCCCGTGGCCCACGCCACCTGCAAACAGCAGCCGCGCAGCACGCCTGCCCTGCTGACATAACAACTCGTTACGCTGTCTGCTAGCGATCCCCGGGTTTGTGGAGCTGCAAAGGCAGCACCACACGCATTGAGTTTTGCAAGGCTGTATTTGAGGGCCGTCGCAGCACTAGGGGAAACACCGAAAATACAAACGTTGGGGCATCCGGCTCAGCCTCTCCATCATCAGCCCGTGCCAGCTGCAGCATCAATAATCCAATGAAGGAGCGCTTGCCCGATGGTCAAGGCCCACAGTATCCTCTTGGCCTGTCTGTTATGCATTTGTCAGGCCAGCTATGGGGGCAAATAGCCTTAGGATGGCTCTGGGGTATAAGGTAGGATGTGATGGGGACTTTTTTGGGGGGTGGGGTCAGAAAACATGAACTCATGAAAACCAACACTATCCAAAGAA